AAACCCGGTTTCTAGCGTTGTGAATCCGCAACATACCATTGTGTCACTAGGGGGCTTCACCAGAAGTGAAATTGAAAAGAGAATCTGTGACGTAGAGGCGAAACTGCAGTCCACAGTAGAGGGTACGGCCAATCAAAGAATGCGATAGGCTTCTACGTCACAGACTCCCTAAATTAATTTAGGTTACTATATGGTAATGTAAAACGGACTCAAATATCTCGAGATAGTATACACACTTCACCGTTATAAGAGGTCTGACCCAAGCTGTGCTGATGAGCCTTGAATAGGCGAAACTGCAGACCATAGCAATGGTACGACCGATCAAAGAATGAGTTAGGCCTCTGCGTCAAATATTCTATTTTCAATCTTTAACACCTATATACAGCGATAATAATAATTCACATACTCTTTGAACAGGTCGCTTAGAGCAATGATAGTAATACTTTGAACAGTCTTATCGTTATAACGTGAAAGAGATGGTGTTACAACGAAAGAATGTTTATAAAAAAATCTTATATCATATTACGTCAATCAAATCGAGATGTTCGTACTGTATGGTTAAAATTTTCTATCAGTAGCATTTAAAGACCTTGACTTTAGATTTTAGTTGTAGATATGTTGTAGTGTAGTATTTATGTTGTAACTCACCCTTCAAGAGGGGGCATATGTCCCATACTGTGATTCCTCCCTGACTGAAGTACTGGCCCAAGGCTATCTCCAAGAAAAAGACTGGCACTCCTCCAGTGACGAGACACACGCCATATGGAATCAGAAAAGCACCTATAGAAAAGTTTGAGTTTTTAAAAGTTCAGTTCGTAAATTTAGCTTATGTGCAAAATAGCAGTTCAGACTTAAATCTTCCCTAGATTTAGTACTTTCCATAAATATATTGCTATGACATCTTCACAAGCTACAGTACTTAAAGCTATTACAACATAATCCTGTAACATCTCCACAAGCTATAGTACTTACAACTATTACAACATAATCCCGTAACGTTCCCCAGGCTATAACACTTACAGATATTACAACATAATCCTGTAATATATCCACAAGCTATAGTACTTACAACTATTACAACATAATCCTGTAACGTTTCCCAGGCTATAACACTTACAGTTATTACAACATAATCATGTAACATCTCCACAAGCTATAGTACTTACAACTATAACAACATAATCCTGCAACATATACACAAGCTGTAGTACTTACAACTATTACAACATAATCCCGTAACGTTCCCCCAGGCTATAACACTTACAGATATTACAACATGATCCTGTAACATATCCACAAGCTATAGTACTTACAACTGTTACAACATAATCCTGTAACAACTCCACAAGCTATAGTACTTACAACTGTTACAACATAATCATGTAACATCTGCACAAGCTATAGTACTTACAGATATTACAACATAATCCTGTAACATCTCCACAAGCTATAGTACTTACAACTGTTACAACATAATCCTGTAACATTTTGTAAGTACTATAGCTTGTGGAGGATATTACAACATATTCCTGTAACATCTCCACAAGGTATAGTACTTACAACTATTACAACATAATCCTGTAATATTCCCACAGGCTATAACACTTACAACTGTTACAACATAATCATGTACCAACTCCACAAGCTATAGTACTTACAACTGTTACAACATAATCATGTAACAACTCCACAAGCTAAAGTACTTACAGATATTACAACATAATCATGTAACATATCCACAAGCTATAGTACTTACAACTGTTACAACATAATCATGCAACAACTCCACAAGCTATAGTACTTACAACTGTTACAACATAATCTTGTAACATCCCCACAAGGTATAGTACTTACAACTATTACAACATAATCCTGTAACATCCCCACAAGCTATAGTACTTACAACTGTTACAACATAATCCTGTAACATCTCCACAAGCTATAGTACTTACAACTGTTACAACATAATCCTGTAACATCTCCACAAGCTATAGTACCTACAACTGTTACAACATAATCATGTAACATCTGCACAAGCTATAGTACTTACAGATATTACAACATATTCCTGTAACATCTCCACAAGGTATAGTACTTACAACTATTACAACATAATCCTGTAATATTCCCACAGGCTATAACACTTACAACTATTACAACATAATCTTGTAACATCTCCACAAGCTATAGTACTTACAACTATTACAACATAATCCTGTAATATTCCCACAGGCTATAACACTTACAGATATTACAACATAATCCTGTAACATCTCCACAAGGTATAGTACTTACAACTATTACAACATAATCCTGTAATATTCCCCCAGGCTATAACACTTACAACTGTTACAATATAATCCTATAACATCTTCCAAAGCTACAGTACTTACAACTGTTACAATAAATTCCTATAACATCTTCCAAAGCTACAGTACTTACAACTGTTACAATATAATCCTATATCATCTTCCAAAGCTACAGTACTTACAACTGTTACAATAAATTCCTATAACATCTTCCAAAGCTACAGTACTTACAACTGTTACAATATAATCCTATAACATCTTCCAAAGCTACAGTACTTACAACTGTTATAATATAATCCTATAACATCATCCAAAGCTACAGTACTTACAACTGTTACAATATAATCCTATAACATCTTCCTAAGCTACAGTACTTACAACTGTTACAATATAATCCTATAACATCTTCCAAAGCTACAGTACTTACAACTGTTACAATATAATCCTATAACATTTTCCAAAGCTACAGTACTTACAACTGTTACAACATAATCCTGTAATATTCCCCCAGGTTATAACACTTACAACTGTTACAATAAATTCCTATAACATCTTCCAAAGCTACAGTACTTACAACTGTTACAATATAATCCTATAACATCTTCCAAAGCTACATTACTTACAACTGTTACAATATAATCCTATAACATCTTCCAAAGCTACAGTACTTACAACTGTTACAATATAATCCTATAACATCTTCCAAAGCTACAGTACTTACAACTGTTACAACATAATCCTGTAATATTCCCCCAGGTTATAACACTTACAACTGTTACAATAAATTCCTATAACATCTTCCAAAGCTACAGTACTTACAACTGTTACAATATAATCCTATAACATCTTCCAAAGCTACAGTACTTACAACTGTTACAATATAATTTTATAACATCTTCCAAAGTTACAGTACTTACAACTGTTACAATATAATCCTATAACATCTTCCAAAGCTACAGTACTTACAACTGTTACAATATGTTCCTATATTTTGTTTATTATTAAACATAAAGCTACACAAGGGGATATTTGTGCTGTGCCCATCAAGGGTATTGAAATCCACTTTTTAGCGTTATGATCCGTCAGATTTACTGCTGAGCCACAGGGGATAGGAGTAGGTCAAAGTAAATTATATAGATAAAATAACGACCTTTTGCAAGAATACAATTGTCTGTGTGTTCATTTTTATGAAGCAACACGTAATTGTTTTCCACTAGATTATCCTTTCCATTTCGTATTATTGCAATGTTTATATTGACATGAAAAGAGGAAAACAATTAAACATACTAAATACAAATACAAAAAGGATTCTTTTATCAATAGAAGTTATATATGTGTATAGACCTGGACTAAATGTGTCGTAGAAGACAAAGTTATCATCAGGAATAAAAGTATAAACTATGACGTGTTAAAACCATAAACTGACGGTTGCACAACGAGTGACATCCTTAATAAATTCCAGTATGGTTTGTGACATTCAGGTTGTCCCTAAATGACCGTCGTCACTCCGGATCAATACATCAGATCGGTTGTCACAAGATAGTTGGCCTTCAGGGATATTTAGTGTCTTGAGTGAAGCTGATCAAGGATGTAACATATAGAAACTTCCTTTCGGAGAGTCAATTCAAATCTAGCAGCACCAAATCAGGAGAGAAATAGAGCAGCTATCGTCTTTACCAAGAGAACTGGCGGAGGAAAAGGTTATTATCATCAATCCACCCACACAATGAATTAAAATGTATTTTTTTTTTAATTTAGTAAAGGTTGCATTATCTGCTGGCGTTCTCAAAACGTTTTGTGTCATTCTGAAACACAGGTTAAGTGATATAAAGAAATAATGGCTGGAGACCATAAATTATATAATTAATATTACAGGATAGGAATAAAATTACAGTCCAGTTTTTGCAACCATGTTTCACTAATGTTTCAACAACTTCTTAATTCAAATAATCTTACAATCTTAGCAATAATATATTGGACCTTTGTAATTCTTCATGTAAATCTTGATCTCCCCAACAATAACAAATATAAACTTTCTAATTCTTGTGTAGGTTTTGATCTCCCCAACAATAACAAATATAAACTTTCTAATTCTTTTGTAGGTCTTAATCTCCCCCAACAATAAAAACTCTAAACTTTCTAATTCTAGTGTAGGTCTTGATCTCCCCAACAATAACAAATCTAAACTTTCTAATTCTAGTGTAGGTCTTGATCTCCCCAACAATAACAACTCTAAACTTTTTAACTCTAGTGTAGGTCTTGATCTCCCCAACAATAACAAATCTAAACTTTCTAATTCTAGTGTAGGTCTTGAACTCCCCAACAATAACAAGTCTCAGTCATGAATATCGTTATTTATAATTATGTAATCTTTGATTTTACACGAATTTATTATGACTAGCTTTATAGAAAATGAAACGATATTATCCAAAGACAATAATAAATAGGTGAGAAATAGGTAAATCAGTATCATTATTTTGTAAGTGGCGTTTATTTATATATGATTTACGTTCAAGGTGCCATTGGGCTGAAGTCAAGCCGACTGAAACAGTTGATGATGATGAAATGGAACTAAATACAGATATCAAAGCAGAACAGGAGAAAGACCAAGATTTGAAGCCAATGATTGATTTCCTAAAAATAAGTGTTTTGCGCCCTGCTTGGGAGAAGGTGTCTAGTCTAAGCCCTATGACAAAGCACTATTGGGCACAATGGGACCAGTTGAGACTTGAAGATGGTATTCTTCTCCGGAGATGGGAAACTACAGATGGGAAAGTGACGACTTGGCAAACAGTTATACCGAGGAAGTTACGGGAAGTTGTGCTGCGTCAATCCCATGATAATTTAACAGGAGAACATCGCGGAATTAAGAAGACATTGAGTCACCTACGACAAAGATTTTATGGGATAGGTATGAGGCGAGATGTGAAAGAATGGTGCCGGACATGCAGTACATGTAGTGCAAAAAGGGGACCCAAGCATAATGGACGCCCACCTTATGAAGAGTTGCCTGAGAATGTGTCTGAGTTTGTGAAAGTGTTACGGAAAGGATGGATGATATCCACCATCAAGTGCATTCAAACTTGAAAACGTCTGCTGATTCGATGAAGTTAACTTATGATAAGAGATCTACTGAAGTCAGCTTTGAACCAGGAGAAAAGGTGTGGTTGTATAATCCCAGGAAGACCAAAGGGAAATCTCCTAAGTTGTCTTTTCCATGGGAAGGCCCATATGACATAGTGGATCGTCTCTCAGACGTGACTTTCCGGGTAAAATGTGGTCGACGAGGTAAACCAAAAGTGGTGCATGCCAACAGGCTTTGGCGTTATCATGGTCCAGGACATTTCAGTTGGAACGAAGTGGACCACAGAACAAATGACGCTGCTGAAGACGTGACACCTGAAGAAGCCACCGTCGAAGAAGAAACTCTACACAGTTTTGAGAAGGGAAACGGTGAAGATCTTGGTGAAGTTACTACCACTGATGTGACTG